ATCACGCTTTCGCCGAACAATGCCAGCTTCCCTCTGTAGCTGTGACCTGTGGCCAGTTCATATGATGTTTTTCCTGTTCCTTCCATAACTCGAAACCTGTTGATCAAGAAGGCTGCATGTTTGAATGCCCATGGGTACAGGTGAAAGTTGCCCAGAATGTCAATGTTCGCCTTTTCACCTGCAAATGCTCTCATGCAGTTTGCCAAGCGTCTCACTGTTTGCACCGCTCTCTCAGCCAATCCATTCGACTGATGTTGGCCTGGTCCTGTCAACCTTATCTGTCTCTAGGCACATGACCTTCCTGACTTGTTGCACTGCTCTCAAAATCTGTCTTGTTGCCCTCTCGGAGTCAGCCTGCAAAATGCACGCGTCTCTCGAGGCATTCTCCAATGTGAACCTGATAACTTCCTCTGTGATGTGTTTGAGACTCGCAGTGCCCTTGCTTTGAACTGGTACAACATGAATTGCTTTCGTTTCGCTCGAAGCCATGATAAGGCATGTACCGAACTGGTCTTGCCTCTCTTGCACTTTATCTGGTGCCTTCTGATCTTCCATCCTCCTTTCTTCCCCTGTGTACGTGTAGAAGAAGTCCAGCTCAATGACATTCTTTCCCAACTCTGGTTTCTTCTTTTCGGAGATGTGCTTATCTTCCTTTGCACGGCTCGCCATGCATGCTTGGCACCATGGAGCGTATGGCCAATGGGTGACGAAGTGCAACTCCTGCTCCTTCAATGACGGAAGCTTGGGCTGCCCCAACATCATGGGCTTCCTCTGATTTTCTTTGAAGAGCTTGTTGGCAATGCTCAGCTGCAACTTGTTCTCCCAGTCAATCTTGAATGCAATCAGGCGGGCTAATATCCTTTTCTTGCTTCCTGAATATGGCAAACCTCTTTCTGTACACGCTAGCTGCAGCTCCTTGACTGATGACTTTTCATTGAACACCACCTCGTCAAGCTCAACCTCATCCGTCTTCTCTGTCAGGATCATCTTCTCGATATCCTGGGCTTCCCACTGTTCCTCCAGTTCTTCTGGGTCTTCTTGCTCTTCCTCTGACCATTCATGGTGCTTGATCTCACCTTCTGGCTCTGGGTATGGAAATGTCGGGACTTCGGCATCTTGCTCCCAGTAGTCCTTGAGGCGACTTGGGGAGAAGAAACTCAGGGTTCTCTGAGGATTCTGATCCGTGGTGATCCTCCTGAAGGCTTTGTCACCAAGGCTGGTGTAATCTTCAACATTTTCTAACTGCCTCCACATGCCATCTTTGTCTTTCATGAGTGTCATCCTTGACTTCCACTCTCCATCAACACTTTGCCTTGCATCTGCCAGCCTGATAGCGACGGGGTCGCTGTACACGATGACTCCGTTCGGTAGCCGGTGCCACCCTGGGGACAGTTCGAGCTCCTCCACATATTTGCTCAGGAAACCTCTAAGCACATACACTCTCACACAGTCCTCCTTCTGGCTGACCTTTTCGTTCTGCTTCTCCACCTCGATGCCAAAGATTCTAGCCTCGAATTGGAGGGAATTCCTTTCTGTGTTGATTGGGATCTTCAAATTCCGCTCTTCGTGGAACAGGAACATCTTCCCGTCACTTCCTCCTGAGATGCTCCAACCTCTTCTCCAGAGTCGACCAGCGCACAGTATGGGGTGTTGGACGTTCCCCAATACGAACTCTTCTATCAGCTCAATGTCTTTTCCTTCACTATCCTCAATCTTGATCTTTGCTTTTGTCAGCCCTTGATGGGCTATCTTTGTGCCTTGTGCGTCCACCATCTTCAACTTTTCTGAACCTGGTCGCCAAGTTCCAACCTCTCCATAGTGTAGTGGTAGGACTGAAACATCTGCACCACTGTCCAGCGTGACTAGACAGCTGTCCTGGATGACCGCTTCCACCTTCACCATTTGGATGAACTTGGCTTCTTTCTCTTCCACTTCATGCATTTGCATGTCCATTGCAATCACAGGAACGTGACTGGGTGTCCACACAACAGGCTCCTGGCAGTCAAAGAACTCCTCTTCGTTGAGCTCCTCATGGACTGCATTCACTCTCCAAGGGCGCTGAATTTCTTCGACAACCTCTTCATACTCCGTAAGGTCAAAGATCTCCGTGGCTTGCTCCTCAACTCTTACCATCTTCACCTGCGTGGTCTCTCTCGTCGCTGTGGCTTGTCCTGACGATGAGCTTGCTGCTCCACCAGGGTTTTCTTCCACTTGTTGCACGCGTTTCCAACACTCTTTTGCCATGTGACCTTGTTTGCCACAAATGAAGCATCCTTCTGTCTTGCCCTTTGTCCCTTTCTCAGCATTCTTGCCTTTCTTTCCTTGTCCCTTCTCCCAAGCACTTTTGCCTTTGTCGAAAGACTTCCATAGCCCTTTGCCTTCTTGCTTCGGCTTTCCTTTATCCTTACCTTTTGCTTTGCCTTTCCCGTCCTTTCCTTTCTTTCCTCCTCTCTTTCCTTTGTCATTGGCCTTCCCAATGTAGTCTACTTCCATGGGTGTGCTTTCGTCTGCACTTGCCCTGGTCGGCAAAGACAGACTGTTGCTTGCATCCCATCGTGTAGAGAGCGATTCCAACTGCATCACCTTCGCCTTCAATGAGTCGTAGGTTGTACTGTCATCGACCCACAACTGAAGATGTTGCTTCATGTAGGCAGGGCATCCTTGCAGGATTGAGGCTACCTTTGCATCATCAGCATAAACATGTCCACTGATGCGCTCATATTCTGTGACAATTGCTTCGTATTGAGGGAACTGTTCACTCAATGATTTTCCCTCAGCAAATTGTACTCTTGACAGCTGGGTGAGCAATGCGAGGCTCCTTGCTCTTGTCGCTGGCGGCATTTCTTTCAACAGCAACTGCCAAGCGCCAAATCCATTCTCCTGCTTGATGTGCTTCACCAGCTTCAGAGGGCGGTTTCGAAGGTATGATGTGAGCACACTGTATAATCTCACTGACATCGTCTTCATGTCGTCAGTCATGTCGTCAAGGGTGTAGTCACTGTTGACCTTCTTTTCTACCACATCCATAGCTGCTGCCATTGCTGGATCTATTCCTCGGATGTAGCTGCAAAATGCAAACTTCCAATCACTCCACATCTTCAATTCATTGTCTCTCGTGTCCGGTTTGAACACATCGGGAGGCTTCAAATGCCTCGACTAGGACTGCGAAGCCTGGTTTGAGCTCAACTTTTCAAGAGCTGCTGCTACCAACTTCAAACTCTCCTCTGCCATCTTTTGCAGTTGCACTGCCTTTGGATAGTAGCACCTGGAGGTAAGGTGTGCACCGTCCTGTTCGATCTCGAATGGTATGCCGCTGTAGTTGAGGACTTCCCAAAACTTCCACTGGCTTACCAAGGCACCAATTTGTCCTTCTTCAAGATCTTCTCTTGTTGCCTCTAACTTGTCAAGAAACTGCCAGCTCGCAGGAACAATCACTATGAGCTCGCGGCAATCCCTCTTCTTCCTCTTCTTTCCTCCTTTCTCCCTCACCAGAAGACTGGCCTTGGCTGCTCTATCACTTTTCAGCCACTTCAATTTGCCAATGTACTCGTCGGCCTCCACGTAGATGCTGTGGAGGGTTCTTTTCTTGATCTTCACAGGACCGGCAGGCCCTGATCCGCTCTGGTAATAGCAGATCTCCCGGTGGGTTCCTCCAACTGCGAACCCTCCGGCCAAGCAGGCCAGGATTAACAGCTCGCAGAGCCAAACTCCCTTCCAACTCGAAGATGTGGTCGCGGCCGTCGGCCGCGTCGTCGTGCACGTGTGCGGGAGCCCTGGCTCTTACGGCCAGGGCTCCGCTACCATGAAAAGCAAGTTGCGCTCCTTTTCAACGGGGATTTGGGCCTGTAAGGGTAGCGGACGCGGATGTGTGTGAGTGACCTGTCTGGACATCATGTGGATTCTAATAGAATATGTAGATGAAGATAATAGACGATGTATTGAATAGAGCAGATGAAGAAATAAATGCCAACATAGAAGAAGACAAAGATAAAGATAGTATATTAGGAATACAAGCATTTCATTTTAGATTAAAAATTAATGAAGATATTTACTACAAACACATATTTGAATTATGGATTTGTAAGATCGGATGATTAAAGGTTAAGGGTTTATCTCTATTGGTGTCTGCCGTTTTGTCTTATATATTGTTCTTTGCTTGGTTTGTTTTTGTTTTGTGTTGTTTTAGGAGTTCTTGGAAAAGACATTTAAGAAGATAATCATACTTATATGAAGATACTGTGTTAAAGATTTACCAACTGGTTTCTTTGAAGATGGATTGAAGACTTGTAAGAAATGCTTGGAATACAAGAGAAAGAACTATGACAAACATAAAGATAAAGTGAATGAAACACGAATAACTAAGTATTAAAAAACATGAAGAATATAGAAAAAAGAAACAGGAACAACTACAAAACTATCGTGATAAAGTTGCCTTTTGTAATTGTAATTCATCAATGAAGGCACACTGTTATTCAAGACATTCAAAGCAGAGAAGCATAAACGGAATTTAGGAACGGTTGATGGATAGGATTTTGTAAAATGAATAAGGTGTTAATGCTTTTGACTGCTATGATGTTGAGAAATGAATGAGGTAAGTATGCGTTGACTGCTATGATTTTGAAAAATTGAATGAGGTAATTGTGTTTTGACTGCTATGATTTTGAAAAATGAATGAGGCAAGTATGCTTTGACTGCTATGGTTTTGAAAAATTGAATCAGGTAATTATGCTTTGATATTGTTGAGAAAAATGAAGCAATCAGCAATATTTATACTGACTTTTTGAACTGTTACGTTGTTTTTGAACAAATTTTGATTTGTTTACATTTTTTCCCCCACACCCCCTTTAACTCACTTCGTTCGCTCCCCTACCTCAAGCCTAGCCTATCGGCTGGCTTTCGTGAATTCTACCATGATTCAACGAAATGAAATGCAAAAACCACAATGCGCAAGATGATTACAGTAAAATAACAATGAAAGCGTTTTTTGACGTCGAATTCACCTGCACGATCTTCACAAAGGCAGGGCCAAGATCTGTGATCAGCTCCTTCGCCTCTCGGGCACGTTGCGGAGCCATGGCCTCCTGCGAAACAGAACGTGCAGAGAAGCAGTTCAAAGTGGTTTCTTGCTCCTAGTAAGAATGCTCCTAGTAGCGATGCCAGGAGCCCCTAGTGGCTTCTTGTTCCTAGTAGTGCAGAGAAGCGGTTGGGGTTTGATAGCAATGGCCTCCACCTAACAGCGTCCTTGCTACTAGTAGCTTCTTGTTACTCGTAGTAATGGCCTCCAACCTAATAGCTTCTTGTTACTAGTGAAGAGTTCCACGTTCAGCCCAAACAACTTAATTAGTCTCTATTCAATTCTGCAACTTCAAATCTTGCCATACGCTGCAGATCTGTTTTTGAACGCTGTATTTCAGTCTGACCAAGTCCGTCCACCAACGTTCAAATCCACAATTGTTTGTTGGCCCGCTGCCCATCCCTACTTATTTAATTCCATCCCCTTTGTTTTCGCGAACAAGAACCATGCGACGACCAACGACCGACAACGCCGTCTGTCGAAGTTCGCTCCTCCCGACCGAAGAACTTGTCGAGCTCTACAGCCACACTGAAGGCACCAGTTTTCAAGGACACCTCCACGAAACCTCACGGAAGCAATCTCTATATACATGCATATGAATTGGGCGACGCAGGAAAACATGTCAAGAGTGAGTAATATGGAAATAGAACATGGGAGGCAACTGCCTTTGGAGCATTCCTTGAAGTGTAGTTTCCTTTCTCTAGCGTTCATTCGGATATTGTCCCATATTATATCTTAGATGAGGTTGATTCAAGCATATTCAAGCCATGCAGTTCCAGGAACGTTGCAACAACTGCAGCGGGCGGCGCTGCCAGTAGGCTGCGATCCAGGCGCCATCGTAGCGCAAAGGCAACTCCTGACAAAGTTGGATCGAAAGATTGACTGAAGGAAACGCAGCAGTTGTTTTGTCCGTGGGTTGTGAGCAGTAACTAGCAGTTGTTCCATGGACAGAACGGGATGGCCGAGCTTTCTTGAGAATGTTCTAGTCCAATTTTGGATGTGAGTCATTGCCTCTTGAGTACCCCATCTTTCACCGGCCCAAGCCCAGAACAATGCCTACCAAAAAAAAAAAGTGCCTTTTTCAGTGGAGTCTCAGAGCCTAAAAGAAGAGGGTTAAGGAGGCAAGCAGGCAAGCATCGCTTGCCAAATCGCATTGGCATCAATATTCTGCCCAAATGGCAAGGCTGCACACTGCACACAGTTCTGGTCCAACGGTCCAACCCACAGCCTCCAACCACGGCTGACGGCCCCGCCGCAGCGCCAACAGCGCCACCACGAGCACCCCGCAGGCCGTGGGGAGGACCACTGGTGAGGCCAAAAGCATTGGAATCGCCGACCTCGGGGCCACGACGGACTGGCAATAGAAGAGAGGGACCAGAAGTCTTGACTTCAAAAAGAAGAACCTTGCATTAGGAACAAGAAGCTACTAGCAGCAAGGTGCCTTACTAGTAGGAACAAGCTACTAGTAGCGAGGCACGTTGCTACTAGTAGCTTCTAGCTACTAGATGCTACTAGTCAACTTAGTTTGCAAGAAAACATTGCATCTCTCAAGAAATCGGGCCTGGACGCCCAGCCCTCGAGTCCGAGGCCCCAACTGCAAGTGTTGGATGGTCTCGGTGATCTTGAAGTCTTTAGCCAGAGCCTTGTCATGAATATTCATTTGCAGCAAATATGTGCAGCTGCTGCAGCAACCACAACGCACGAATCGTGAACGCAAGCAAGATTCCATGGCAAATTCACATGAGAAAGAAGCTGGTAGAGTATACACCAGTAAAATCACAAAGCTTCACACCGTGAATGCAACCGCTGGTTGTCGCCTGCAACTGCTGCAGGTCGGGCAAAGAAAGTGCAGGATCTTCCTTTGGCCTTGCTGCGGTCTGGCAGCGGACGATCATCTCGCGTGCTATGGAAGCAGGAAGACATAGGCAGAGAGAACCAGAGTACAGTAACTGAGCTGTAAAGCCTCCTCCAATATCACGTCTTCTGCTACTCCGGCAGCTCTTTCTCGGGTCCAAACATCACGCCGGCCATACGTCCCAAGCGCTCCGCCAGAGGCGTTAGCCCAGCGCGGCCAACGCCTCATGGATGGAGGAATTGGTCATGGAAGACTCAATTACACTGTTGACGTGCGACTGGCTCGATCAAGAATGTACGCAGCCTGCACAGCCAGCTTACGGAACCTCCACAGCGCGCACAATCAGCTGACTCCAGCACCGGTGTGCTTTGCCGGCTGACAACACCGGCAGCGGCGCCAGCACCCGACCAGCGCTGCCGCCGCCCGTCTTAAACGCGAGCTCAGCCAGCTCACAGCACCAGCGCCCAGGACCACAACACCAGCACCGACACCCTTTCGAAAGCGCGCGCAGCCAGCAGCAAGAACCTCATAGCTATCCCTATTTGGGGAATAAAACGCATGATCTTGCGCGTATAAGGTTGCGCGCGCTAAAGTATGCGCGCAAACAGCAAAGCCCGTGAGTGTCGGCCAAGCAGCATCCAGCACCACTATTGACTTTGTAGCATGCTTGAAGCAACGATCTGCAGAACGATAAGGCCGTATTGATCTTGCGCGTATAAGTTTACGCGCACAAAAGTACGCGCGCAAACGGCAAAGCCCGTAGGCTTCACTCGCCCGAGGCCAGCAGTATCCAGCACGACTATTGCGTGTGTAGCGTGCTGAAACATGCTGAAACAATGGTCGGTTGAGAGCCTGACGTTGCGCGTAGAACATTATACGTACAAAAGTATGCACGCAAACAGTGCAGCTCTTGACACAGCTGTCGGCCAAAACAGAACCTGAAGAGTGCAAATACCCCGCAGCGCTAATAGAGAAAGAACGCTCAAGCGACAACACCGTATGATGTTGCGTGCATAAGTTCATGCGGCCCATGACTGCTGGCACTTCATTGTCAGAAGCGGCGCTTGGTCGCCCTTCACTGCTGCAAGCGGCGGTTTGTTACCCTTCACTGTCAGAAGCGGCGGTTGTTATCACTTCACTGTCCGAAGCGGGCACCAGCACCGAGCACCGGCATGCCAGCACCGGCGCCCAGTCTCCACCACACGCACTGCCAGCCCACAGATCCGGCACCGGCGCCCGCTGTCTCTACCACGCGCGCTGCCAGCACCCAGCACCGGCACCGTGTCTCCACCACGTGCACAGCCAGCTCACAGCACCAGCACCAGCACCGGCACCCGGCACCCAGCACGATCACCGGCACCAGGCACCAGCACCGGCACCCGGCACCAATACCAGCAACCTGTCTCCACCACGTGCACAGCCAGCTCACCGGCACCCGGCACCCAGCACCCAGCACCAGCAACCTGTCTCCAACGTGCACAGCCAGCTCACAGCACCGGCACCCAACACCAGCAACCTGTCTGGGAAGCGCGCACGGGCAACTTATTGTTATTTGAAGTAAGAACCCCATAGCTTCGCTATCTGGGGAAAAAATGGAACTTCACTTGGTTGGTTGGTCTGCTATGGTCTGGTGAAAATGGATGCCGTTGGTTGTGATGCGCTGTGTCTGAGTAAATGCTTGGTTAGAAACCGTTGGTTCTTGCCAACAAAGCCCTACATTGGCATCTTCAATGGATAGTCAGGACCCAAGCCTTCCGGGCTGTGCCACTCGTTTCACCCATGCAATCAACAAACTATACATCGTCGAACCTTACAAGTTGACAAGAGAATTATATATGGCTAAGACTGTCCAGTTCACTGTGGCTGGTCTAAACTCTGTTCATTCCATTGGTAGAACTTAAATCACTGTTGAGAAAAGCAAAGGGAGGGTTCTACCATGTGTCACCATGGCCAGAACAGCAAAGATGAACAGTTCGCTGCGATTATGGATTTGTCGTGTAATGTAAATCTGTTCAACCTTCAGGTTTGCCGGTGTGCCTCGCCGTCGCGCCTGACGGCGCGAATGCACCGCCACCAGCAGCACGCCGACCGCGGCAATGGACCTCAGAAGATGGGCTTGATACCATAATTGCTTGACCTTGTTTGTAGGGGGAGCACTGCAAGCTGTGCACCTTAAAATGAGTTCAACAAAATCAAGGTAGACATGGAGCTGCATTACATTGTGTAAAGCACTCAGCAACTCAGCTATTGAGTCTTCAGGATCTCCACACTTAGGTTACAAAAAGAACAGTCACAACAAACAAGTCAATTTCCACAATCGTTTCAACTGGTTTCAAATCTCTCAAGAATGTCATGCACTCTTGCAAAGGTTCTTCATTCCAAGTACTTGCCTTCAACATCCTGAATATCGGGTCGGTATGTGCACACTCTCACCCGCCTTGGCCTCGCTGGCCCAGCATTGACTGTGTTCAGAGGCCGGTTTGGAGCTCCATTTGTCTTTGGGGACACTGGTGATCCATGAAGTGCAGGGATCCCCTGAGCGAGAGAAATCGATGGCATTGATTGACCTGAACAGATTACCTCCCGAGACAGGTTTTCCGAGGCTTTTCTCTTGTTTCTACACATCTTCTTCTTTGAATTGTCCTCACCCAGTTGATGGACAAAGCGAACCCTTGCGAAGCACCCTTTGCGATCTAAGATTCACAAGTTCAATTTCACTCCAAACGCACACTGTACATTTAAGACATCGCCCGCAACTCAGGTTTGTCACCTGCCAGCCAGACGAAGCTGCGGCAGCCATGACCGTCTAAAATCGAAGAGCTGCTGAAACTGCCAGGATCCATGGTGATCCAATTGATCTGATAGAAACAGTCCAATTAACGCCTTGACAGGCTCTGTGTCTAGAAGCATCATAGTCTAATTACTTTTGTAGGTTGCTTGTGCTGCATCATATGTCACATGGGTGGCTGCCACATATCTGATATGTTTCAAGTGTTCTATGGCTTTGGCGGTTGAGCAACAGCGCTTCGTGTGAGATGGAAGGAGTCATGCACGGACTTGGTTCTTCACCCTCGAAGTATCAACGAGCCAAGCAGGGCAAGCAATTCCAGTTTGTTCCTGGCGTGCGAATCACGAAACTTCTTTGTGTCCCCAATGCCACGTGTATTTGTTGGACCAATCGGCCTATGGCCTATGGCTGTTCAGTCTTTTGGGCGTGATCCCCAAACTGATATTCCTTGGCCGCTTGTATAGGTATGTATAGAGTATAGAGTTGGCTCCTTTCTGTTCTGCAGGGTTTCTTAAGGCCGCCCCTTACAAAAGTACATGTACACAGGCTTTTTGGATGCTCGCATCACCAGGGGCTTGACTTGATTGAAACATTGGCCAAGCCACGTAATTCAAGGTTGTTTGTGGCTTTGACAAACTACTTCCCTGCATGCAACACACGAGGAAGAGGAAGCTGGCCGCTTTTGTTCGAAGGAAAGTGGGTGTGCGGCACCCAAAGGCAACACATCATGGCAAAACATCGCTCGCGCTTTTGTCAGTTGCACACGTCATCATCTTTTCAGCTTCGCATGGAGATCAGGAACTTTCACAAAGGGTGTGCAGGTTGGAGGCTTTCACGGCTCACTCAAATTTCACTAAGCAACGCCTTGTGATGCAGCTCCGAACTCATGAAGCGGCATACAACTATGGAAGAGGTCGTGTTCAGTGTTCTCAGTGTTCTCCCAACAACCTGCACCAACAACGCCAAACAAATCTGATCAAAGTTCTCAAGGAGCGGATGGATTTGGTACCTCGGACATGGAGACGCAATCCCAGTATTGCACATGCTGTCATTGAGGTCACAGGTTTTGTGACAAGCATTCATTGAGTCCTTGAGGTTGTAAACTGGAGGCCAACGCTACTAGGTCGGAGGCCATCGCTAGTAGGTTGGAGGCCATTGCTTAGGGTATTTTTCTTCGTTTAGTTCAGTATGTGTTTTGGCTCTTTGCTGCCGCAGAATGCCACCAAGTTCATTCTTCAAAAATGACGGGACACTTGTCGTGTCGTTTAGCCAGCTGTTGGTTCGGATTTTCGGGTCACAAAGTAGAACTTGTGATGTGGATCCTCAAATATCGTGGCCTTCTACAAATGCTAAACTGCACATCTCTTTGCATTCGTCGACACGAGAAACGCATTCTTAACAGTGCGGCCAAACCCCGTCTCCATGTGGCCTGGTGCCAGTTCTCGGCAAGTGTCGGCCGGGCAAAGGCGCACCTAAATTCGCGTGAAAGCCATTGCTATTAGACCGCAAGGAAACCTCATAGCAAAAGGAACCTAATAGCAATGGCCTGCAACCTACTTATGATGGCCTCCAACATAAGAGCAATGGCCTCCACAAAAAGAAAAGACCGCGGAGCCAAACATCACAGGGATTGGAGAGTAACTATGTTTAATGCAAGAGTTCGACTCAAAAAGCTGCGACTGGCCAACACCCAAACATGGACTTTCCAGCAACACCAGGCAAATGGTGTCACTTTCTTTCACTCCGGTGCAGGGCTCAGAAGTCCTCCAACGTCATGCCAACGCATTCAACGTGCAAAAGCTTTTTCTAACGCGGTGCTTCAATCTGTGGGGCAAAAGACTGCGTTGGTGTCACAAACCTGGACCCGACTGGTTTGATGGGTCAGAGCTGAGCGGCAAACCCTCTGTGGCGCCCGTTTGGATGTCTTTCAGAGCATCAGCAGCTGTGAGGCGCACATAGTTTTCAGAATCATTTTGAATAATATGGTTCAGCTCAGTGGCCACTGCTGCTGGCGCTTTTGGAGCAATTTTTTGCAATAATTGAATGACATCAATGCGTATCTGCCAATCTGGGCAAGTTAAAAGCTCGTGAAGCATGGGCACTCCAGTCTCCGGCGGTTTTTGGCCGATGCTTTTCAGCAAGGCTAGAAGAAGTAGGTGACGACCAGAACTGTCGCCTCTTGGACGCTTAAGAAGACAAGGCAAGACCTTTTCTGGTTCCTCTTTGGCCAAGGGTTCCAGTGCGTTTGCAGCGGCTACGCCTGCGTCATGGTCGGAGTACAAGGCCTTCTCAAGCAGCGGCAACGCTTCAGGCAAGTCCTCAAGTCCTGGCCGGGCAAGCTCCTGAAAGGCATCTTTGTCCGGGCCCTGACGCAGTGTTGCGGCCCACAAAAGCGATGGCTTGCTAGGGGGGCCACAGTGCCAATTTGGAAAATAAACAAAACCTGTAGAGAGCACTACAAAAACATCAAAAACCTCTTGCCTGCGTGAATTGCACCAAGTAGAGTTCCAATGCGATGACAGTGTCAAACATCTCCATCACATCTGGCAAAATTGTGACAACCTGCGGACCATACTGCTTTAGGAGAGCAGGGAGCCTCAAGTTGCTCAAGTGTGGTTCGTAGCTTGGAGGCAGCTGGTTTGCGACCTCTCGAAACAATTCAAGCTCAATGTGTCCCATGGCGAGGCAGCCAGGGTAGCGTTCTTTGGTCACCTTGTCGAAACGACAATCCTCGGGGACCAAAACGGAAAAAGTCACAGAATCTTCGCTCAAGAAATTGGAGCTTCGATAATGATACTGGGGACCCGGTGGAAACCTAATCCAAATAGTATCTTAGAAGATCACATGATCACATCCCACCTCTATTTTTTTTTAGAGATAGATATAGTTTTTACTTTTCCGGCTTGCCATGTCTCCTGTGTGATCTTTTCTCCTGGCTTCAGAAACTCAGTTGCCTTGCTTTCGAAGCTCTTGAGCTCTGTTTGCTCCGCGGTCTCAGGATGTTCCATCTCGGCCACATTGACACACGAAAAAGTCTCCACCTTTTGCCAATCTTCCAATAGACCGGTCTCTTCGATCTTGCCTCGAATCAATGGCATTAGATGATGGCATCGAACGTGGGGGTGCTCATTGAGAACTCTGAAACCTCTCGCAGGCGGGTACCGCGCAAGAGTTGGCAGCTCAGAACGGAAGAATACCGTTCTTTGCAAGGTCCATTTCTCCTGCAACCAGAGAACAGTTTGGCTTGATCAAGAATATGCTCAATAGGTTCAGGAAAATCTTCAAACATGTGACTCAAAAAGTACAACGCAAAGTGGGAACTCCCCTTGGAGTCAATGCTTCAATCCTCTCTAATACTCTCCATTTTTCAGGTTGTGTCGCCCCAAAAAGTATTCCTTTGGTCTCATTCCAGAGCCAATGGCATCTTTCTGATTCTAGGCCTCTATTGGATGTCTGTCTACATATTACATATATATGTATATAGAGAGAGAGAATATATATATATAACTATTATATATATTATATAACAGCGAATCAAATTCAACTGATTGTATTTTGTCGATCTGGGGACGATCCCCAAATGACGATGCTAGCATCGTGTGTCCATCCTTCACCAGCGGCTTCTTCACGAGAAATCGGACCAAATCAGCCCCATTGCGCCAAACCACTGCATCAGAGGCTGACTGCCAAATGGGCTCCTGATGTAATCCAAGAAAACATTGCTATTTAGCTTTGTTGCTTCAACCATCGTGAACGAATCGACTGGTATATTAGAGTTGTGGAAGGATCAGCTTGTTGCAGCTTGAAATCGAACAGGAAGAAAACAACGGATTTGTTTTGATTTGGCATGAGAATCCAAACAACTGAAGAAAAGCCTCACATCAAGAATTGTTGCACCTAGTCTTCTTACAAACAGCAACTCATCTTGAGTTTTACCGTCCCTCTGAGAAGACTCCAAACATTGCTCCGGTCTCCTGCTTTGCCCATTCGCAGTCGTGCAGGGGTCTTCCATCGCTGCTCTTCATCCCTTCTTCCTCCAGAATGCCCCCGAACGGGGTCTGAATGTCGTCATTGCCACCAGCATGCAACCTAGGCGCATGTCACGCTAACTGAAGCAAGTTCGACCCGCAAACCTTGAAAACAAAACAGTTCCACCAAAAATGCTCCAAAGTGCACAAACTGGACTTGCCTGGCGACATGAACATGTTTAAGGAGGTGCACCACTTCGCACGCACAGACGGAGAAACTCCACTCCACAGTAGCAGAGTGGAGTTCATCTTGACAAATGAGCGCTTTGTGAAAAGCAGCCCATGAGAGGCATCTCGTTGACCCCATTGCAAAGCGTACATGATGTTCTTTGCCATGTTTCTGGGGTCCACATCAGTCACGTGGGTCAGCCAATCGTAAGAGCCGTTCTTTAAGCCGGGTGTGACGCGTTCGCAAAAGGCCAACACATGTCTCTGCAGCTGCGTGAGCTGCTTCTCACAGGCAGAAGCAGGTTGAAGGCCTGGCGGTCCTGACGTGTCCGCCCGAAACACAGGCGGAGGAGGCGGAGGCCTCCCCATCCAAAACAGAAGGCCTTCTGAGTTGGCTCTGAACTCTGTAAAACTTATGACGGGACTCAAAGGACTCCTTGTTGCGTAAATCTTGCCACAAAATACAGAGGATCTCCGCAAAAAGCCGATGGATGCGAGTGAGGATCAATGACCTTTTGGCAAGGGACCATCGGTCATCCGTGACTTTCAAACCTCAACCGGTAATCGCTTCGGTGTGTCACCCTGTCCTGAGATTGTTTCAGGAGCTTCCAAACGGAGAGCGAGACTTGGCAAGCAACATAGAGCAAGGCAAAGGCGACGAGTCATAGCGCTTGATTGCTCAGCTGCGGATGTGACATGCTCACTCGCGGCTTCGAAACTTCAAAAGCTCCAATTTCTCAGATCCAGGAGTTAAGATACTTCTGTGAAGGGAAGGAAACGCAGCAAGCAGTCACTCTAAAGAACCCATAATCTAACTCACCCGGTCGCACCCCCACCTCCACCTAGGTCAAGTGGGAGTGCGCAGTGACCCAAATTGCCTGAAAGGCTAGGAGCCGAACAAGCCCACTTCACGAGAATCCTTGAACAACAACCTAATTGCAATGGCCTCCAACCTACTAACGATGGACTCCAACCTAATTGCGATGAACACCCTTCAAGATCGACCGCTGTGAATGACCCGTGCTTGTTTTGCAGGGATTGATTTGTAGAGTTGGTGGCCTGTGTGCCGTCCATCGCTCCATGGCTACGCGGCTACTCGCTGGCCACGAGGACGATCCTCGAATTCACGCTTGAGCCAGTCTCACCAAGACACACTTCCGACTCGCAGTGGTCGAGATTCCTGGCTTGTGCACAACTCACTTTGGTCGATGTAACAGCACCACGTTCTACGCATGCAAGCCGGTGAGGTTGTATTCAACCTCCCTCCTCTACTCTATTCCTTTTCTGCGCAGAGGTCCTGGCGAATAGCAAGAAGTCAGTCACGGTTGATGCTGTCTCTGCTGTCTTGAGGAAGAATAGAGCAACATAGGCAAGAAACAAGCAGCGGTGTGGCAATGCACTGCTTAAGAGTGCTGATGGACAGAATCCTACAGGTGGAAGCACGCAAGCACAAAACAGTCAATCTTCTAACACCATCAGTTACCAAAAACTGTTTAAACAAAAAAAGAGTGAGCATGTCTCGTGTTCAGTAACGTTTGAATCATCATGCATTTCAGTGCTGTTTGCTCTTCCTGCCTGGGCAAGTTCATTGCGTATTTGGCGTCGTTAGCGCAAACAGGGTCTGCCCTATCATATCCAGAACCAACAAAAATGCAGTCTATATATGGTCTTTCTTTGCAGGGTCCTCATCAAGATCTCCGTCGCGGACTCTCCGAAAGTGCCAAAAGTACAAAAAGTACAATTGTTACTGCTACAATGCAAAGAGTATTTATAGTTATATATACGTATGTCATATATATAATTTCATACTTGATATTGCATTATATTATATAATTGTTAATTGAGGCTACTTTTTTGGCTCATCAACTGACCAGTCCAACCTTGGCTGAAAGCGGATGTCCCCTGATTTAGAGGTTCTTGGATGAACATGTGCAACTGGTTCTTAATGACTTAATGGGCAAAACTCCAATGGTAAAATTGACAATCCGGAGTAAAAGAAGACCGGTTTGCATGAAAAGAGAAGGTGCTTAGTGCTTGGGTTCCTTTTTAAACTAAGTCCACCTTCGTCTTCTTTATGCTGAACCGATCTTCGTCTTGGACTTAGCCACCCAAAAGCTCGCAAATCTTCCCGCCTTAACAAGCTGTCAAACAAGGATCGCAACATTTGATCCCGAGTGTTGAAAAAGCAACATGATCGAATATGTTAAAGGCGCGAAAGCCTTTTGATGAGTTTCTCGCTTTGAAGACAGTGTTGGTGATATCTACAGTACTGCTAGTTGTGAGCCCACATCAGCTAGAACAGTTGTTCACTTTTCAAGGCCTTCTAATTTGCAGAGTCTTTCGTTTTCCAGGGACAGACATACCATCACCTCCCCTGCATTCGAAGGACGCGAGCCAAGGTCGATTGGAGCGCTGAGCGCCACGTCAGCACCGCCTGCATAGGGAATGTCATAACCAACCAGAAACCACACTGACCCTGACGAAAGGAAGGTAGATAGAGTACTGCTTTTGACGACACCTTGCGAGTCTATACCCATGAAATCCCATGAAGCTACTGGGATCTGTCATGAAAACCCGGAAATTCTCATGTTGAAGTCACCTGGTCTTCAGGCAGTTCATGCTGAACGGTTCGCAAGTCTGACGGTCCGGATACTTCGATTTCAGTTGGCAGAAGGTGACTCCCTCTGTTCGGTCTCTCCAAATCGTTCGTTGACCTCCTCCACTTTCTGCTTCTCCTGGCAAGCTGCAGTCTGGCCATGCTGTAGCAAGATCATCTCGGCCAACTCAACTTAGTTTGATGGAACAAATGTTGCAGCACATGGGAGTCATAGAAATCATCAAGCGCTTTTCAGTTCGACAGTAACACGGGAGAAGACTTTGTGTTTCAAAACCAGTGGTCGACACGCCTCAATGGTGAGCTCACTGCTTGGAATTTGGTGGTGAACAGCAAACGGGTATCGGCTATTGATCTGTTGCATATGAAAGGATGGGCTCATCAGTTGGTGAGGGGGGTTGCACAGAAAATCTGAAGAGAGTAGATTTGTTTCACACTCCTTCGCATGATTAAAATGGTGAGCTGTGACTTTGTGAGCAGGTGTCATTCTACTATGTTCTGCTCACATTTTGTCGACTTTCGAGGTTTGGGCTTCCCAATGAGGACTCGTTCGGTTTCAAATCATCACATCCGTCCAAAGACTTGCTATCGCGAAGAGCACCACCAGTGTTACTTCTCTCTCCCCAGGCCTTTGATTCGAGGTGCATGGCCTGACACAGGCGACTTCCAGCGAAATGGACGTCTGTTTGAGTGGAAGTCGTTCGTTTGGATGGATTGGTCGAATTCGTTCGAGTGCCGCCTGTCAAAGCGAGCGAAACCCCACCATCTACTACATCCACCTCTAGCTGCATCTCGTTTACATACCACCCTGCTAATACCCAAAAAGCCCTACTTACTTCACTTTTTGGGTATAGTTATGCTGTAAACACATATCAAGGAGTTGAGGAGAAATAAATATTCCAATTTTAGTCATGAGGCAAACCTGACATGAAACATGGTGAGACCTTAAATCAAGTCCCCAAAAGAATATCATCTTCTCAGTCCTTAGTGTGTTCGCTCTATTTGTGTGTCTTCTACAGAAACAAACAGATCTGCAAAATCTTCTACAGAAAATGAGTCGACCATTCGACCGCCTGGACCTTGGACGTCGCCAATTCGGCCGCTTTCATCTCCTCGGATCCCGAAGCGTTGAGCGACATCGAGCGACATCGAGACAGGAGCTACTAGTAGTGTCCTTGCTAGTAGTAGCGATACCCTTTGTTACTAGTAGCAATGCCAGGAGCTACTAGTAGATAGAGAATTTGAGCGGCCAATGTCGTTCCATTCGAACATCACATTGAGTGGCTCATCGTGAATGTTGTCCGTGGATGGTTGTGGGATGTCGTGGGACCCATGTAGGTTTTGGGTGTTGGAATGACTTGTGACCTACTTTGTCTCCAAATCTTCGACTTTGAGAACGACAAACGAGCGTTCTCTTTTGTCTGTTTGACGCCTTGGCCAAATAGGCTTGGGCCTTTCGGAGCTGCTCCTGGTCCGCATGTCACGTTTGGATGTGTGTTTAAGAAGTCCAGTAAACGCTGTATGTGGAGGAAGAATGTCGAAGCGGACTTAAACAGGCATTAGGAGCTCCAAATGGTAGAAATGAAAGCTTATATTCAATAGATTCAATGAAGCCAGCATGTCACCTACATCATCCTACATCTCTACTTTCCAGGTGCTCATGTTGAGCTCTGCACAAAGATTCTAGATGTGCTGTGGGAAAACTAATCAAGTCCTTTTCACTCTCCTCTCGACAATGAGTGACTTTGTTGAACGCCAAATAGCCGATAATATGCTTCTGCAATTCACCATCCGCGTCTCCTCCTCTTTGTCCAAGGCTTTCTGAAGGACCTCCGCCTTCCGTGCACTGTGCTCCTCCTGGCATATCGTTGCTCGTCCGGTCAAGTGAAAGATTGGCAAACGTTTCATCCCGGACAAGTCACACACTCATCACGATCACCAAAAGTTCAACAAAATCTGTCAAGCTCAACAAGTGATCCGCTCCCACTTGATTGCCCGAGTGATTCCCATATTAATTCCCCAGATCGATCATGGGCCTTGCATATGGCTCTGGACCTTCCCTCCCTCCGAGACCCAACAACCCTAGGTATTTCATCACAAAAATCACCCCACCTGCAGCTGTTTGAGCTTCAACTCTTCCTTCTGCACCTCAGCAATTATATCAAATATACTGTATAGAATGGTCTACAGTCTGGGGCATCGACAATCTTTCTTCCAGCTGTGGCCCATTGATGGCAACATGGCAACATAACATGCTCGTCAGTTCGTCTTGACTGAAAAACAGCAAGAAATTCCTTCGAACGTGAACGCCACCAATGCAGCTCAGCCTCTGCTGATTGTATGTCGCGCTGCTTAGCTGCTTTGACAGCTTCCACCTGCCGCCCAAAAGACCGCCCCATCTGCCCTGCCCCTTGAATCCAATTTCTGAAGGCTCATTGCGCAACTTACGCATGGATTGGTTCATGCTCCCAACAACAATTCAAAGCTTCTAACCCAAAGAATGCATCTCCACATCGCGCAAGTCGAAGTGCAAGGGCCTTCTCCTTCCATTGCCTCGCCTCCTTGTCATCCTGTTCCTCCAGCAATGCTCGACCATGCTCAGAACTTTGGGGGTCTATGAACAGCTGCAGTATTCAGTCTGCTGAAGCAAACACAATATAGAGAAAACTGGAGGATGGATTTCTTGGGATAGGCCAGACTCACGACAAGGCCCTAGCTTATCCCCCACAAATGCCCGGATGTTCAGTCAGGGCCA